TAGATAGATAGATAGATAGATAGATAGATAGATAGATAGATAGATAGATAGATAGATAGATAGATAGATAGATAGATAGAAAAACCAACCTTAAACAGAGGGGGTGGAGTTAGATTTCAGCTTTCAAAAACCTAGAATGCAGCAATTGAGTTTCCTTCCTACTATCATTGCAACCCCAACCCCTATACAAGGAAACAGAAGACCTCGCCTATTCAGCCAGGTCAACAATTCCCTTTAACGACCCCCCTTTCAGAGACATAGACAGGTATGGGGCATTGCAGGCTAACAAAGAAGCCAAACGACCCCCATTCCAACGGGGTGGACCCGTTCATCTGTTTCAATTTGCATGTTTTCTAAACAAACACAAGGCTTTGTAGGGCTACTGTATAAAACCTGGAACTCAACACTATTTCCGACATTTGGAATTGAAAAAGCTTCCTGGATGGAAGAGAAACGTCTACAAATTTGGAAACAAAGACCAGTCGACTGTTTTTTTTACTTTTTTGGAATTACTATGACCTGGTGAGTGAGGATCTTCACCAGCATCATCACATTTCCATTTCTTAAAGTGCAGCAGTGATGTAAACAATATGGGAGAAATAACTTCCAAAAAAATGGAAGTTCAGAGTATTTTTCCATGTCATGCTGGGTTACTGTTTAGAGAGGAACTGTCCTAACTAGATAAGCTACTTGGGAAAACATTAGTTCTGACGTGCAGCAGGCAGGTATTATTAGGGTTTAACAGACTCACACATCATCTATAAGAATAACCCCAGGGTAACTGGATCTGCTCTTTTTCATCTCTCTGACATGACAACTGGCTCAGAGCCAAACAGAGCCACCTGCGGAGCTAGTTTAAAGTTAATGTTGACGCATAAATGCTCATTTTGAAGGATTATTGTAGAGTCAACAACACAATGCAAGTGATTATTTACTGTCTCTACCTGCTCACCCAGGAGGAGAGAATCCTGCAAAGTTAATGATTGCAAGCAATCACTTAACTTTGCTTGGATAGAAATGTTGAACCAGTCTGACTGGATTATCTGGTAGAAGGGTCTCTGTAAAGTGACCTAAGATGAAATGTGTTGGGAACTGGGGCTATATAACTTAACTGAATCAAGTGTTGTCACCCCCCCATCAGGGAATGATCCCAGTGGGACTTCTGCTCCTCCTGCTGAGGATCCAGACAGGGGAGATATTCTGTCTGGGATAATAAGACTGACACCGCTCCTGGTACTTTCTGCAACGGTCACTGAGACTTTTGCCACAGTTTGATAAAAAAAAAAAGAAAAAAAACTTCCGGAACATCAAAAACCAGGCGGACAGACAGAAGGAGGCACACAGGAACTTTTGACACTATGTGTGGAGGAACGGTAAATACTGACAGAAACAAAAGAAACCCACAGAAACATCCTTGAATCCTCACAGAGGTATAAACGCAAGAAAACCGCCATTTTATGTCCTGAACTAGGCAGGTATTTACCATTAGGCAATACTAGGCATTGCCTAGGGCCCCAAGTTCCTGGGAGCACCAAAAAATTCTGTTTACATGTATGGTTAATAAAACTATTTCTTATTTGTGCACATCAATTATGTTTTTGATAAAAATCCTTTTGCTAAAATGCCATCAGAACGCTGATAATATTAAGTGTGTCTCAGCCCCCAAACATCTATAGTCTTCCTAGTACAGCAGTGGGTAACCAGACCTGGTAAATGCTTTTCTCTGTTCACATCTCTTAGCTTCATGCTCTCCATCTGCCAGGGGAGATATCTACTGCTTCACATCTGAACATTACAGTGTTTATTCCTCAGTAACTTCATTTAAAGCAGAAATGAAAAGAATATTCCGGTATGTGGCAGCTGTTGGTCTTTGTCTGTCACAGAGGACCACAGATAATCCTGGACAACAGAATACAGAGAAAAAATGACAACATCACAACAGACTCTAGCTTCCTTCTGCGGCTGAGAGTTCAGAGGTGATTTTGGAGATTACTAAAGCAATTCGGCCTCTGCAAAGGGGACTGGCAGCGAAGGATGACCCTTCACTGTGGTGCAGATGAGATTTTTATGATGGAGACAACAGATAAGCTGCATGTCACAAAGGAAACAGCCTCATATAATGGAATAAAGAAAAAGTTTATCGCCTTTTTAGTTGGAATGTTCAAACTTCCTGTTTCTAACAAGTGTTTTTCCATAGCTAATTGTCTTTTATAGTTTAAAGAGGTCTTTTGTATTTAAACATCTGTTGTATTTTCAACTGATATACTTTGCAGTAAAATGTTTTTCTTTATAAAAATAAAAGAAAAAATGGTAAGAATCAAAATAAACATTTACTGTTGAGGTAGAACAGGCCTGACTAAAACTGTTTAGGGATCATAAAAACATTGGTTTTTATTTAATTTTATAAAAATCAATTTATGCAAGTCAAAAATATCTAAATAAAATTAACCAAACTTAAAATGACCCTTGATGAGTTGTAAGAAGAATTAATTGGAGAAAAAATTATTTTCAGTGTAAAACAATAAAGTAAAAATGCTTTAAAACGTTTCATTTCTTTATAAACGAAGCAAATTAAAACCATCTCACTGATGTCGCCATATTGTTTATGCATGCTAGACAGGAGGCTGATGAAGTCGCTGTTGCTAGGAGATACTAACCCAGATCTAAAGCTATGCTGCTAAGAGCTCCTTTCTAACTGAGGCTGTCAGCGGTTAGAATCAAAACAGAATAAAATTCACAAAACTCATTTGGAGAAACATTTTTTAAATATAAAATTTGTTTCAAATATGAAAAACTTCAAAGAAATAATATATGAACAAATAAATTAAGAAAACAGCAAACTTTCCCTTAAAACCTAGTTTTATTATGACGTTTTTCAAAGTTTAATTTCTTCATTACATTTTTCTTAATGAGTAACTCTCATTATCCTGTTTTTTATTTTTCTTGTGGCTTTGTCTGTGCCTCTCAAAATACCAATAAAACACATTAAAGTATGCACGTCTTTTCATCATGGATACATCAGTGTGTATTTAATTCACCATTAACCTAAAAATGCCTAAAATATTCACACAGAGAATCTCCATGAAGATAAAATTTTACAGAACTGGATTTAAATGGATGGAATTTGTAGGAATATATTAGGGTAAATCTGAA